AGAGACAGAGGGAGAGAGATTTTATTTGTCACTATTTACACTGTATAAAAAAACTGTATAAATGTAATTTATACAGTTTTTTTCTCTCATAGAGAAATTCTAGATTAGATAGACATCACATGTCCGTAGAGCAGCTGTTGGTCTGTGATGGAGCAGAGAACCTCTTTGTCCTCACATCAGCCTGAAACTCTCCAGGTCACGAGTCGCTCTGTAAAAACTAAAGTCAATTAAAAGTCTGGATTTCACCACATCAACGTTCAGTGATCCGTTTTACAGGACTAACTAGTGGCAGAACGGGAGTGAAGGTGTCATGGATCTCGACTCCTGATTCCACCACATCCCACACTTTATCCGGACTGTCCAGGAAAATGACTATGGCTCCATTCCTCCGGTAACCAACCACCTGTCCGACCGCTAACCCTGCCTCCTCCACCGAGCAGCTCACTGCCGGCACCAGTTTGACTGCATGACGGCGAGTTAGCTTCACAAACTCTGCCTCACCCGCCTCCATGTTGCCGGCATGTTGCCCCACCACCGAGCCGGTAGCCTAGCTACCAAACCCAAAACCACCCGAAACACTGATAGATTCCCGTGAGACAAACAAAGAGAGAAATAAATAAATCATTTAACTGTAAGAAAAGTTCAAAAACTCGCTCACACACCGCCACCACACTCGAGAGAGGGGGGCAGAGAGAGAGAGAGAGAGAGAGGGAGTTAACTCAAACACAGAGACAGTTTCTTTGTCTCGTCCGAGCGTGGACTCTTACCTGTCTCCTGTCTGTCTCTGTTTCTGCTGACAGGTGTGTGTGTGACAGGAAGTGCAGTGTGTCCTCCAGGATCATGTCTTTGGTGACCTGTCTGTCAAACGTGTCGTCCCTCAGAGCTGTAAATGTTAAATCAGTGTCCACCTGGAGACAAAGAGATGACAGGTAGAAGAGGCTGAGGACAACCTCCGCTGGACATTTACCTGCAGCTTTACTTTTATCTATTTTAAACTTTTTAAACTTAATTTTGAACTCACATTATTCAGCAGGAAAAAAAGATCTCAGTGAGAGGAGGTGTCACTCTGACAGAAATGTAAGGATCAGTCCATCTCTTACCTGGATGACGACAGGTGTGATGGAGCCACTGAACATCAGAGTGAAGGTGAGCAGCTGGTAACACAACACACACCTGAAACACCACAATCAAACTGAGCTCACCTTTAAAACCTTAATGGACTTTATTTGATTGGTTGATTTTTACCTGTCCACTCTTCCTGTCCTCTCATTGGTTGACACTGCCGCCTGCAGCACTTCGCCTATCACGTGCTTCATATGCCCCAAAGCATGATGGGAACTCACTGGTCCCAGCTGCTGCCGCAGAAAGTCCCTGAGCTATGAGAGAGGAGGAGTTAACACCAGCAGGGGGCAGCGCCACAAAGGAAGGGTGGTGTTAAGATCAAACCACTGTTTCACCTTCAGGGGTCGTGCCCTCAGCTCCCGATTGGTCGACACCACGATGACGTCATGCAGGAACGATGTCAGCGGTTGGAGTGATGTCACCAGAACGTAAATGTTCACCATGGCAACCAGACCAGGAGGCGGAGCTCCAACAGGTGACAGACTGTCAGAGAGAAGTTGGTGAACACGGACAAGTTTGATTAATCTGACAGGTGATCTGACACTCACCTGTCCTGAGGCATCCACAGCTTCTGATTGGTTGATCCACAGGAGTACCGCCTCATGGGTAAATCTACTCCTGAGGAGGAAACAGGTGAACATGAACACACCTGGTGTGATTTATTTTTTATAGTGTAAAAAACATCAGTTCAGACCTGGAGCTGCTGACTCACCTGTCAGGTGAGACCACGTGAACATGTGACACAGACCTGCACCTGCATCAGAGAAGGCGTCCATCAGACCTGGGATCAGGTTCACCTGAGGACGCAGAGACACAGGTGAGTTCATTCAGACATCAGGTGGGACCAGAACCGCTCTGCGATTGGCTGGAACAGGTGAGTCTCACCCTCTGATGCCGCTGCAGGTGAGAGAACGAGACTCTCCTCAGACAGCTCCGCTCTGAACTGCTGAGACACAGCAGCAGGCTCCACCCACTCACACCTGTAACCATGGAGACACACTCCTGTAACCGGGGAGACCATTCTCAACTGTTGCTCTACTCATGGAGCACACCTGTCAATCACCTCACAGCTGTCAATCACCAGACTTTATACATGTGATGACGTCATGTGACCGCCCTCGTCTCTTTACCCTGATTGGCTTGGAGGACGCTGCTGGTCTCGGTGTATCTGGATGTGTKGACATCGTAGTGGAGCTGCTGCAGCACCTGCTGGTACAGCTGCACCTCGGTGTCAGACGCCTGGTGGCGACCCGTCAGAACCACGGCCCGACGCCGCCGTGGCGGTTTCTGAGACAACCCCCACACCTGAGGAGAGAGGATGTCAGTGCCACGTCTGTGATCCAGAACATAGACAGGTCCGAGAAGAGTTTAGCATTAAAGGTACAGTGTGTAGAAGTTTAGTGACATCTAGTGGTGAAGTGTCATGTTGCAGCTGAACACCCCTCCCCCTCTCCTTCAGAACATGAAGAAGAACCTGTGGCAGCTTCAGTCGTTATAAAAACTCAAAAGGTTTTAGTCTGTCCAGTCTCGACTAATGTAAAAAACATGGCGGCCTCCGTAGAGAGGGTCCCCTCCATGTAAATATAAAGTATTTCAATATAAAGTGTTTCAATA